AATTTCAACGCTCACGTGTCACATAAATTTTACATGTAGCGTGTGATTCAACGAAAAATCAAAATAAATTGGAAAAGTCATCAAATATGACACGTGTCAATACCTGGCAGAAATGATTTATTTCATCTAATTATTTAAATCCAAAAATCAAGTTTTGGAATTCTATAAATAGGAAGCCAAGACATTCATTTTGGAAAAAAAAAAGAAAGAAAAAAAAGAAGGGAAGAAAGGAAGAAAAGAAAGAAAGGAAGGAAGGAAGAAAAAAAGAGAGAAAGAGAGGAAGAGGAATTTACATTACACAAAAACCTTCAAGCCTTGAAACTCTAAAGCAACTCAAGCAAATCCCGAAGGATCAAGAAAGCACTCTTCGTTCTTCGTCAAATCCTCTTTCAAGATCAAGCCCCAACGGCCCTTGAAGAACTTCCACCAACTCAAGATCAAGCCCCGACGGCCCTTGAGGAAAGTGTTCATCGTTCATCATCCGTTCATCCTAAGATCAAGCCCCAACGGCCCCTTGGATCAACAACCTCAACAAATCCACACATCCAATCGTTCTTCAAGATTAAGCCCAAAAGCCCTTGAAGATCCGCTCATCCATCAACCTTCAAGATCAAGCCCCAACGGCCCTTGAAGAACTTCCACCAACTCAAGATCAAGCCCCGACGGCCCTTGAGGAAAGTGTTCATCGTTCATCATCCGTTCATCCTAAGATCAAGCCCCAACGGCCCTTTGGATCAACAACCTCAACAAATCCACACATCCAATCGTTCTTCAAGATTAAGCCCAAAAGCCCTTGAAGATCCGCTCATCCATCAACCTTCAAGATCAAGCCCCAACGGCCCTTGAAGAACTTCCACCAATTCAAGATCAAGCCCCGACGGCCCTTGAGGAAAGTGTTCATCGTTCATCATCCGTTCATCCTAAGATCAAGCCCCAACGACCCTTTGGATCAATAACCTCAACAAATCCACACATCCAATCGTTCTTCAAGATTAAGCCCAAAAGCCCTTGAAGATCCGCCCATCCATCAACCTTCAAGATCAAGCCCCAACGGCCCTTGAAGAACTTCCACCAACTCAAGATCAAGCCCCGACGGCCCCTTGAAGAAAGTGTTCATCATTCATCATCCGTTCATCCTAAGATCAAGCCCCAACGGCCTTTGGATCAACAACCTCAACAAACTCATACACCCATTCTTCAAGATCAAGCCCAACGCACCTTGAAGATCCATTCATCAACTGTTCATCCTTAGATCAAGCCCCGACGACCCTTTGGATCAACAACTCATCCACAAACCTACACCCTACGAAGATAGAATCAGAGAACCAAATTCCAAAGAGATTGTAACCCCAAAATCATTAATACAAAATATATATTTTGTACACGTATTCTTGTCTCTTGTTTCAGGAATTTTTCGTGTTTACAACCTCCGTTACATTTTCCATCCATTGATTTGTTAAATGCTAACGTAGCTGCCACATATATGTCACATGTCTGCCAAATGTATGCCATGTGGCAAATAAAATATTTTTTTTAAAAAACCTAAAATGAAAAAAAAAAAAATTGAAAACAGTGCCTTCCCTCGCCCCCCAACGACCCTAATCCAGAACCCAAAAACTTGCAACAAGAAGAACAAGAAGAAGAGGGAGGAAAAAAAAAAAAAAGCCCCTGTTCGTCCCACCCGAGCCACCCCTTCTCCCATCCCTTTCTCCCATCCCCTATCACCACTCCCAAAAATCCCCCATCACTCACAAAAATTCCACCCGAGATTAGGTGGATCTACCACAAAACTAGTCCAAAAATCATCTCAAACTCAAAGTATTTTTAAAACCCACCCATACTGAAAATCACAAGATCCTGACCCAGGGGGGGAGGGAGGTGGGTTGCTAAGGGGGGCGACGAACTGGGTTTGGGGTTTTTTTTCCCTTCTTCTTCCTCCCTCTTCTTCTTCTTCTTCTTCTTCTTCTTATTGCTGCAGTAGGTTTTTTAGGTTTTGGGTTAGGGATAGGATGTGGGTCGATGGGAAGGGGGAGGGATAGTGGGTTTCATTTTTTTTTTTTCTTTTTTTGAGAAAATTCAGGTTTTTAAAAAAATTTAAAAAATATTTTATTTGCCACATGGCAGACATTTGGCAGCCACATGACATATATGTGGCAACCACATCAGCATTTAACAGATCAATGGATGAGAAATGTAACGGATGTATTATTTTGAAATAAAATAATACTTAAGGTATGAAAGTAAAATGTTTTGAAGATGTTGTAAGGAATTGAAATAGACCCCAAACCTGAGGTACGAAAGTGTAATTTACCCTTTTTTTTTTTTTTTTTTGAAAATTCAGGTTTTTTTTTTAAAAAAAATTAAAATTTTTTTTTGCCACATGGCATATATGTGTCAGCCACGTCAGCACTTAACGGATCCATGGATGAAAAATGTAACGGATGTATTATTTTGAAATAAAATAGTACTTAAGGTATGAAAATGAAATGTTTTGAAGATGTTGTAAGGAATTGAAATAAACCCAAAACCTGAGGTATGAAAGTATAATTTACCTTTTTTTTTAGCTAATTATTTTAGGGTAAATTACATCTTCATACCTTAGATTTGAAGCCTATTTCAATTCCTTACAACATCTTCAAAACATTTACCTTAAGTACTATTTTATTTCAAAATAATACATCTGTTACATTTTCCATCCATTGTTTCGTTAAGTGCTGACGTGACTGCCACATATATGCCACGTGGCTGCCAAATGTCTGCCACATGGCAAAAAAAAAATTTAATTTTTTTTAATAAACCTAAATCTTCTAAATATTAAAAGGGAAAAAAAAAAAAAAAAAAAACTAAACCCCATTCCCTTTCCCCTTCCCTGTAACCCCCAACCCAAACCCTAAATCCCATGTCTTCTCCGATCCATTCTTCCCTGTTCACCTCCCCGACCCACTTCGTCTTCTCCACCCTAGCACCCCCTTCTCCCATCCCCCATCATCACCCACCTTTTCTCCTGTCACTAACCTTATCCAAAATCCCCTAGATCTTCTCTGCCTTCACATTCGACAACACACTGCAGCCACCACGAATCCTCAAGCTTCAGTAATCCCCGAGTTCAACAACACATTAAAGCCCCACGAAGCCCCGAAATCAACGACTTTGCTACTGTTCTTCCTCATTGCTACCTCGCCAACATTGAACTTCTTCCATACCATGACCAACATTGCACTTCTTCCCTATTTACAAAACCCAGATCCCTTTCCTTCCCCCTCACCTCTCTGTAACTCCTATTTACAAAATCTCTTTCCCTAGAAGAAGAAGAAACCAAACCCATTCATTCCCTCCCCCCCCCCCCCAGGCGATGACCCACTTGCCTTCCCCCCTGGGCGACGGTTGTAGGTACTTGGGTTGTGGTTTTGTAGGTATTGTGTTGCAGGTATTTGGGTTGCAGGGGTTTCTAAGAAAACCAGTGAAAAAAAAAAAAAGCAGAGAAGTGATTAAAGGTGGGGGCTTTGAGGTGGGAGAGGTGGAGGGGGATATGGGTTTTTGGGGAATGAGACGCGTGGAGGTCGGAGACGGAGGGTGGCGGGGGAAGAAGCGAGAGAGGGGTGGAATTCGAAACTCAAACCCTAGAGAGGGAGAGGGAAGGAGGGAATTTAAAAAAGGGTGTCAGGGAGTGTGTTGGGGTTGGTGTGAAGGAAGAAGAAGAGTGGGAGAGATGGGTAAGGGGGTGGGGTAAGATGTGGGGTTGCGGGGAAGGAGATCTGGGTTCTGGTTTTTCTGGTTTTTTTTTTTTTTTTTTAATTTTTTTTAGGGTTAATATTATAATATTGTTAATGTATAAAAAATTATTTTTTTTGCCATGTGGCAGCCACATCAGCATAAATGTGGTAGCCATGTCAGCATTTAACAGACCATTGGATGGAAGATCTAATAGATGTATTATTTTGAAATAAAATAGTAGTTAAGGTATGAAAGTGAAATGTTTTAAAGATGCTGTAAGGAATTGAAATGGACTCCAAACCTAAGATATGAAAGTGTAATTTACCCATTATTTTAATATTTTAAAATTTTTAATAAGTGTTTAGCCACGTCATCTTAAATGGGGACTCCATATTTTCCACGTCATCACTTCACAGTTTACTTGACGGGTTTTCTAACAGATGTATGAAATTGAAATAAAATGATAAGTAAATGTATGAAACTGAAATGTTTTAAAGATGTTGTAAGGAATTAAAATCAATCCCAAACTTGAGGGGGTAAAATGTAATTTACCCTTTTTATTAAAATGTGGGTGGAGAAATAGTGGGTGGAGAAATAGGATAATGGGATGAATTTAGCAGGACTCTATTAGAAAAAGGGGTGTGATATCCACATACCCCATTTTACTTTTCACATAACATTTTTCTAATAGAGTCCTGCTAAATTAAGATGAATTGAAAAAGATCAACGGACAGAAATTATCAAAGGATGTGTAAGAAGTAAAATGTGGTGTGTGGATAGAACACCCCTAGAAAAATTATGCCATTACTTGTCCCTCAATTATAGGAACTAGTAATAGTCTACTCATGGCTTGTTTGTAAGTATTTTGAAAATGACTGAAAGCGCATTTAGAAAAAATATTCTCAAGCTCCAAAAACACTTGAATCGCTTCCTGCAAGAAGTACACTTCAAATGCTTTTTCAAGATTCACTTTTAGTTAACAAAGAATTTATTCCACATATTTGAATAAAAAATCAAAGTGGACGGTGAAGTACTCAGGCACATGCAATCTGTGCAGCGATTTGTTGAGATCCGAAAGATTAAGACTTCTTGTCCGATTGCAATCTAATTGCAATCTCATATTCATTATATTCTAATGCAAGTCCTGGACACACTAACCAAAATTAGAATATTAAGATTAAAAATTGGTTAAGAAATATCATAGTGCCTTCATGTTTTAAGTACTCTTCAACTATTTAAGTACCTCCAAAAGGAAAAACTCTCACCAATTTAGTTTCCCAAATTCCCCACCATGGAAGCTCTTTCCTGTGCTATTTTAACCCTAGCATTGGTAGCTGCTCTATCCCTTCTCTCGAAAGGATTCTTTCCCCAACCCCAAAAGTTAAAACTTCCACCAGGTCCCAAACCATGGCCTATAATTGGCAACCTCAGCCTCATTGGTCCTCTGCCTCATCAATCCCTTCACAAATTGTCCCAAAAATATGGACCTATAATGAAGCTTATGTTTGGTTCTTACCCTATTGTAATTGCCTCATCTGCAGAAATGGCAAGACAATTCTTAAAGACGCATGATCACATCTTTGCCTCTAGACCCGAAACGGCAGCTGGTAAGTACACAACTTACAACTACAAAAATCTCACCTGGGCACCTCACGGTCCATATTGGCGCCAAGGCCGGAAAATTTACCTTTCTCATTTGTTTAGCTCGAAAGTACTAGACTCTGTTGAGTACATCCGCGTTGAGGAAAACCGCGCTTTTCTATCACGATTATGTGCAGTGTCAGGCAAGCCGACTATGCTCAAAGAGCATCTGTCACGCCTAACCCTTAGCATTATAAGTAGAATTGTGTTGGGTAAGAAGTATTTTAGTGTGTCCGAATCTGAGACTTCGATAGTGTCCCTAGAAGAGTTTCAAGAGATGTTAAATGAGTTGTTCTTACTTAATGGGGTACTTAATATAGGGGATTGGATACCATGGGCTCAGTGTTTGGACTTGCAAGGGTACGTAAAGCGAATGAAAGCGTTGAAGAAAAAATTCGACCGGTTCCATGATCATGTGTTGGATGAGCACAAGGCAAATATGAAAGAAGTGAAGGATTTTGTGTCGAAGGATATGGTGGACTTACTGATGCAGCTGGCTGAAGATCCTGATATTGAAGTTAAGCTCAACTATGACAGTGTCAAGGGATTCACCCAGGTACGGATGCGTTTGTTTACAAATTTTTGTTCACCAAATGATGGGACAATAAATCCGCATGTACTTTGAAGCTCTGTTATTTAACCTAACAAGTACGATACTGATGGACGTATATTACTGCATAAACTTGTCTAAAGTTTGTCTTCTTATAAATCAGGATTTAATAGCAGGAGGCACAGATACCTCAGCAACCACCGTGGAGTGGGCAATGTCTGAACTCATGAAACAACCACACCTCATCGAAAAGGCAACCGAAGAGCTTGACATAGTGATTGGGAGAGAGAGATGGGTAGAAGAGAAAGACATTGCACAGCTTCATTATATAGATGCAATCATGAAAGAGACAATGAGGATGCACCCAGTGGCAGTCATGCTAGCACCACATTTAGCCCTTGAAGATTGCAATGTGGCAGGTTATGATATTTGCAAGGGAACTAGGGTTTTCATAAACACATGGAGTATGGGGAGAGACCCTTCACAGTGGAATGCACCAGAAGAGTTTAACCCAGATAGGTTCCTAGGGAAGGCAATTGATGTGAAGGGACAGAATTTTGAGCTGCTGCCTTTTGGGTCAGGAAGGAGGATGTGCCCTGGTTATAGCCTTGGACTTAAAATGATTAGGTCTAGCTTGGCTAACTTGTTGCATGGATTCAACTGGAAGTTACCTGACAATGCGACAACAGAAGATTTGAGCATGGAGGAAGTTTTCGGATTGGCAACGCCTCGGAAGTTCCCGCTTGTTGCAGTTCTGGAACCTCGGCTCCCACTCTATCTTTATTAGTTAACGGCTACTCGCGACTGACCTTATCACTGCTCTTAAGCGACTGATGGTGCTCCACCACCGCCTCGGGGACCTATCATGATTTTTCTATTTTGTAACCAGATTCAAGTTTGAAATTTCACTCAGTTTACACCTCAAGGAAACCTTTGTTTCGTTTTTTATTTCACCAGCATAAAAAAATTAAATAAGAAAATGATTGTCTTTGCGATTGGGGACTTTCCAAGAGAAGATGGATAAAAGAATCAATAATTATCTTCCAACTTAGTTCTTCCCAAACTGGCAGCATTAAGGATATGATGACACCTGTTTTTAATTTTCATGGACTTCTGGCTTGGAGCTTCAGTGGGAGGGATGGAGGGTAAAGGTTTGGAATGGAAGGATCAAAACAATTGCAACATAAGAAGGGAACAATTACTAAAATAAACAGAAATTATACATAAGTTGCACACTTCAACTGTCACTTGGTACTACGGTTGGGTGATATTTCTTTTCACTTGAAAGTAAGAGGTCTTAAGTTCGAATCTCGTAGATGGCGAATTCAATGCTAAATTAGGTTGCTCATTGTGCGGCTTAACCGAACTCTCCCCTTAAAATGAAAATATCGATCTATTAAAAAAAGAAAAAGAAATAATAGCATTACTCACGTAGCATTCTCCATTTACTTTCTTATATCAGAATTATGGTGCATCATTCCTGTTAAATATTTTTAGTGCAAAAATAAAACTCAAAACAATTTTTCGACATTAAAATATTCTATATTATCCTTTATTTTCACCTACCCCGTGTCTTCCATTTAGAGCGAGATGAGTGTGTGAGTAAAATAATAGGAAACGTGATCTCTGCAAATGTTCTGGCAATCTACGAAGAGCATCATTAAAATAATAAGAATAACATTACTCACGTAACATTCTTCATTTACTTTCTTTTATCAGAATTATGGTGCATCATTCCTGTTATATATTTTTAGTGCAAAAATAAAACTCAAAACAAATTTTCGACATTAAAATATTCTATATTATTTTTTATTTTCACCTACCCCATGTCTTCCATTTAGAACGAGATAAGTGTGTGAAAAAAATAATAGGAAACGTGATCTCTGCAAATATTCTGGCAATCGATGAAGAGCATCATTTTTCAATTGATGTGTGTGTTATTCATACACTTCATTTTACTTTCACACATTCTTTGATAATTTCTATCCATTGATCTTTTTCAATTCATCCGATCTGACGGCTGAAAATTAAAAAGGTGTGTGAAAAGTAAAATGAAATGTGTAAATATCATACTCCTTTCAATATTGAGGGCAGACATGTACATCTCCACTACCTCAAGTAGTCGATCTTTCAATAATTCTAATGTCAGACTATAGAATATATGAATTTTTTAGGAAATTGTTATTGGCACTTCAAAAATCTCATTTTGCACTCCAAAATTTCTATAATTAGAAAGCAAAATACACTTGTGAGGAGTGTAGAATGAGATTTTTGGAGTGTAAATAACAGTTCCCTTCTTTTAAAGGAAAACTAATGAAAATAGTTTGAAAATTTTGAGTTTTAACGATAAAGACAAAATAAAGAGTAAAATGAATAGTACCAGGATTGACTTTTTAGTGTAAAAAAAGTGAACAGTACAAGGAATTTTTCGTTAAAGTTCCCTTCTTTTGAACTGTTAAATTTTTATGTACTTTTTAATAAAGGTTTTAAAATTTTTAGAATATCATATATGTTTTCTTCACCCGTTTAGAAGTGGGTTCGAACCACTGAGAAGGATTTTCAATCCTTTTTCAAAAATCTAATAAATAGAAGGAAAGGAAAGGAAATTATAAAGATACGCGAACGACTTGATTATAGTATAGATCTATCAAACAAAAACAACGCACAACAGGCTCTCATTTCTTAGTCACTAAATAGTGCTATTCTGTCATCCGAATGACTCCACCAAGTATTGGATATAGATGACATGTACACTTGTGCCACATCATCAAGTGCCACGTCATTAGCGGTTCAAGAATGTCAAATTTGTGGTAAAAAGGGACATATTACTATTGATATAGATATGATAAAACTCAAGTGGTTCAAGAATGTCAAATTTGTGGTAAAAAGGGACATATTACTGTTGATTGTAGGCATCATGGCAATTATGCCTATCAAGGAACGCCACCTCTTGCTTCACTCAGTGCCAATTATGCTTTTCCAGATTTTTCTTCTCAACTTATGCATCCTCATTCTATGTCTCATGCTTTCTTTCCTGGTAATGTTGGATTTCAAGGCATTTCTCCTCTTAAGAGTATTTTAGTGGCATTGCTCCTTTATTTCTACATCAGGGTTAGTCATCTACTAGTGTTCTAGATTTTTCTGAAGTTCAAGGGTCTTCTGTTACTCCTTCTATAACTGCTTTAATTGCACAACCTTCTACTGAGGCTGAGTCTTGGATAATGGATACAGGTGCTTCTCATCATATGAACCCTGATATCACACTCTTAAAATCTACAGTTCCTTATGATGGTGATGAGCAGATCATTGTTGGTAATGGTCAAAGCTTGATTGTTCAGAATATTGGTCACGACACATTACAATCCCTTTCTCACACTCTTTATCTTCGAAATATTTTGCATGTTCAAATGTTAACAATCAATCTTCTTTCTGTGAAACAATTGTGCAAAGATAACAATAGTTGGTTTATCTGTGATGATTTCCAATTCTTTGTGCAGGACAAGGCAACATATGTGATACTTTACAAAGGAAAGAGTAGCCAAAATGAGTTGTTTAGGATTCCTTTACATGTATTTCCAACTTTACTTCCTCAAGGTGATTCTACTGCTGCTGCTGCATTATTGGGAAAAGTTGTCAAGACTTCTCTGTGGCATCACAGGTTTGGCCGTCCTTCAAATGAGATTTTGGAAGCTATGCTTAGGGATTCTAATGTGTCTATCTTTAGTGATGTAAATGCTCATGTTTGTTCACACTGCCTGACTGGCAAAATAAGTAAATTGTCTTTTTTAGAGAAGTTAGATAGAGTTGATATTCCTTTTCATAAAGTCCATACTGACGTGTGGGGCCCTTCAACAGTTGTATCCATTGAGGGATTAAGATATTATGTGTCTTTTGTAGATGAAGCAACAAGATTTGTATGGGTATTTCCATTAATGAATAAATCTGAAGTTTTTGGTGCTTTTGTCAGATTCTGTGCCTATGTAGACAATCAGTGTAATACAAAAAGAAAGGTATTACAATCTGATGGTGGTGATGAATTCTTAAGTAATACTTTCAAGGATTATCTTGTTACTCATAGGATATTGCATTTTATTTCCTGCCTTTATACACCTCAACAAAATGGTTTGGTGGAAAAGAAACATAGGCATATTATTCAAATTGCTCTGACTATGTTGAATGCTACAAAACCACCACTTAAGTTATGGTACCATGCTGTTACACATGTTGTTTTCTTGATTAATAGAATGCCAACTAGAACTTTGAGGATGCAATCACCATTTGGAAAACTATTTGATAAGAAACCTGATTTGTCTTCTATGAAAGTGTTTGGTTCTGCTATTTACCCTTATCTCAGGCTTTATACTGCACACAAGGTTCAACCTAGATCAAGTCAATGTGTTTTCTTGGGTTATTGATTTGGTTACAAAGGGGCATTGTGTTATAATCCTATTACAAATAAAATAGTAATCTCACGACTTGTTATACATGATGAAGGTTGTTTCCCTTTTGATGTTGGTCATTTTTCTTCAACATAAACACAATCAAATTCTGTTCCATCTTCCACTGTACTTATAAGACCTGTTGTGGTTAATCTGATGACTTCCCGTACAAATCAAGATTTATTCTTGTCTGAGAATTTAGTTTCATCTGCATCATCGACTAGAATTTCTTCCCGAGACTTTAGTGTGTCCAATCATGTACATGATCCTAATCTTGATGCAGCTACTTCTAGTTCAAGTGTTATTCTTTCCACTCCCTCTGTGTTGCCTGTCCTTTCTTTAAGCCAGTTGGATGTTGTTTTGCCACTCTCCACATCTTCAGTATTTACTACTCCAGTACAAGCAGATGCTCTCTAGGGTATTCAAACAAGGCTTAAAATTGGAACCATCATTAGAAAAGATGACATTGCACTTGCATCAGTTTTTCCTCAAGTTCAAACTTTGGAATTACATGATTGTACTCATTTTTCTAGAGGATTTACCTTTGTTGCTGATATTATAGATGCTTCTGGGCCTTTTAATTTCAGGGTGGCTTCTCAAATTCCTCAGTGGCAACAAGCCATGCAAGAGGGGTATGATGTCTTCCAGGCTCAAGGTACATGAGCCCTTGTTCCCTTACATCCAGATAAAAATATTGTTGACTTTAAATGGGTTTATAAACTAAAGAGAAATCCTGATGGTTCTATCTCTAGACATAAAGCTAGGTTGGTTGCATAGGGTTTCAGTCAAGAAAAAGGGTTGGATTACACAAAGACATTCAGTCCCGTAGTACGCCATACCATTGTTCGTGTTATTTTAGTTGTGGCAACTACAAAGAAGTGGTCTCTTTGACAACTTGATGTCAATTGCATGGCGAATTACATGATGAGGTATATATGAAGCAACCTCAAGGATTTATCAGTTCTCAATATCCTAATCATGTTTGTAAACTTGTCAAGTCCTTGTATGGTCTTAAACAAGCACCACGAGCTTGGAATGACAAGTTTACAAGTTATTTGGTTGTGCTTGGATTCAAGGCTTCTTTTTCAAACTCTAGCTTGTTTGTCAAGACAATCCAGACAGAGGTGGTCATTCTTTTACTTTATGTTGATGTTGTTATCATCACAGGATCTAAGAATGTCTATGTTCAATCTGTCATTGATGATCTTGTTGTTGCATTTGATCTCAAGGACATGGGGCAATTAACTTACTTCTTAGGTTTACAAATTCACTATAAGCCATTTGGAGGAATTTTTGTAAACCAAGATAAGTATATCAAGGATTTGATTCATAAGGCAGGGATGGATGTTCTACACCTTGTGTGACACATCAGTCAGTTCTTACTGATGAAGGTGAATTATTACCTGATCCTACTA